TTTGTTTGGGTTATTACATTTAATTTTTTTGGCACTTAATGGTTTGGAAAGAGGGAAATGTTTCACAATGACGGACACCTGTGATGTTGCTCCTTTCCATCCAGAACCTGACCGTGGGTTCTGCAGAGGAAGGAGTTAATGGCCTGGAAACAGGCTTGAGTTCTCTGAAGAAATAATTCTTTTCAAGTAATTTTCTTTTGAATTTTATGCTTTGGAGACTTCCCTGTGTGGGGACTGCTCTGGGCAGAGGCCTTTGAGTCCTAAAGGGGGTTCCTGCTGTCTTTCCCACATCGTGCTGGGCTCCCAGGGCGAGGAGCTGGGGACACAGGGCTGTGACCATCCCAAACAAGGCAAGGGATGGAGACACAGCATGTCCTTGTCCCAGGGATGCTCCCAYTGCTCTCCCAGCCAGGACTGCCATGGGAAGGGCTGTGCTGGCAGTGACACAAGCAGCCCGTGGTGGTGCTGGTGTCTGGAACAGGGTTCCCTCTACCCAAAACCCTCTCCTGCTCGTTCTGTTGTTTTTGGTGCTGTTGTGGCTGCCGTGCTGTGGGTGGGTGGGTTGTGTTTGCCCACCTGAGCTCCCACTCGCCACCTCCCCGGCTGCTCCCTGCACCGGGGGATCCCGACAGGCGCTGCCTCCATGGCTGGCTGCGCCCGGGATGATTTGTGGAGGAGCAGGCTCTAATGTTGCCTGGCGGGAGCATTGTTTTCCTGCAGTGCACRCAGACCTTTGCAAATAATCTAATAATGCAGGAATGTCAAACTTCAGCTGTGGAAGGAAATCCTTTTATACAGGAATTGTCAAGTCTCTAAACAAGTATCAGAAATGAGCTCGGTATCAATGTGGAGGGTGTTTATTCTGCCCGTCAGAGAGATGAACAATCCAATTCACTCTCCCAGGCAGACGCAGACTCGAGCGCTGGCTCCTGGACCTCAGGAGAGCTCAGTGCTGAACCTTGGGGTGCCCTCGCACAAACCCTTAAAGTGGTGAATTTCAAAATAATGCATGAGGCAGATCCCAGTGCTTCAGCAGCTCTGGGGGTTGGGGTTTGAGGCTTTTTACTTCCAGTTGCTGGAAGCCCAGGCAGCTTTTCCTGTCAAAAGAGAACTTGGGGTGTTAGCACTGTAATGAGCACGGGGAACCAGCAGAAAGGACCAACCCTTCTTCTTTCATTCTGGGTGTCTGGGCAGTGCCAGGCTGGAACTGTGTCCGTGGGGATGTTCCCTGTGTCCCACAGGGTCTGGGGGTCCACCCGAGGCTGATGCTCCATGAGATGCTACCAGTCTGGCTGACCCCCATCCCCTTCCAACCTCATCCAGCTCTTCTGAGCTCCACTGCACCCTCCAGCTTCACAGGCTTCCTTTGCCTGCTGGACGGGGGTCACAGGGAATTCACCTGCAAACCTGGTGGGGGAATGAGCTGTGCTCATGATGGATGCGGTGCCACTGGGATCTTTGTGATTTCACTGCGTGGAAGTGCCCGCTGGATTCCTCCATCTGGCGAGTGCCCCCCCCTGAGCAGGACTGAGCAGCGGGCAGGAACCTGGCCCTGACAGAGATCAGGAATGTTTCATCCTCGAGAGCGAGTCCCTAAGAGGAGCCCTGTGAGGGAGGCGCCGGCTGTTGAGAGCAATAACGAGCGAGCAGATAAGGGACCTCATTACGGAGCGGGTGCGGTCTCTGCTCGGGGAGCCGCTGGCTCTGCTCCCGCCTCTGTGTGTGAGTGACCTCCGCCCGTGTCCCTGTCACACACACCGGGGTTCTTTGGGGCCGCAGGCAGCACCTGCCCGAGGCCTCTTTCTTCACTGATGGATTACAATTGAGGAGGAAAACCAACCCTTCCCAGCGTGCTTAAGACGTGGGTACAATCCATTCTTTGTCTGCACAGCCCCACTACCCGTTTTTTATCCACTGTGATGCCAGAAAATCTGTTAGAAATGGGACTTAATTCAGGCTCTGCCTCTGGAGGTGTTCCCGGCTCCAGGAGGAATTTATGCTCTTTGCCTCCTCCTGGCATGATTTAAATATCTCGGATGGTGCACGGGCAACTTTCAGCCCTCGAGGTGCAGCTGTGCAGCCTCAGCCCTCAGTGGGGCTGTGCCACCCTCGTGTCAGGGTGAAGGAGCTGGGCTGGGGCTGGGAATCCCAATCAGTGCCCACTGAGTGACCTCTCCAGCTCCTGCTCTGGCTACACCTGTGAGCTGGTGCTTYGCAAAGTGGGGTGCCAAATCTGGGGGAACACAGTTTGTAGCTGCCACCCCAGCATGGGTTTGTTTCTGTTCCCTTGCTGGGCAGTGGCAGAGGGTGGACCCTGGGCTGGACAGCACCATGAGGCTGAGCCAATCACCCAAAATGTTGGGCACACGAATGCTTGGCCTTTGCTGCTGTTCCTGTTGCAGTTGACCCTGTGCATGAGCCCTGTCTTTTGGTACATGAGCTCTGTATTTCAGTGCAAGAACCCCTTATTTCAGTGCATGAACCCCATTCTTTGGTACGTGAATCCCCCTGTTCCAGATTGTGGGTTTTGCCTTCAAAGATCTGGTGCTTTTTGCCTCTGAGAGATCCGGTGCTTTTGCTTTGTCAGGATCCAGCCCAGAGCTGCTCCCTGATGCAGCTGTGTTTGCTCAGCAGCTCCAGGCAGCTTTACCTCAGGATTCCTCAAGTCCTTTGCCACTGCTGCTGTCCCAGAGTGGGACCCTGTGATCCCAACCAGCCACAGAAACTTCTGAATGCAGCCAGGCACGGCCGTGCCACCCATTTGTCTGTCACCGCTGCTCCCTCCTTCCCTCAGCTTTTAACTCCGGAGGGAGTAATGAACTTGGGCAGAGATCAATGCTCTGCTCCGAGCAAGGCTTTATTCTGACATGCAGCAAATGCTGCAGCGGGTACAACTTTTTTTTAAAGTTATTGATTAGTAACGCAGGTACGAGGCAGCACAGCTCCCTCCCAGGGACCTGCCTTGCTGGAGGGGAATGGGAAGAATACCCCCACTCCTTCTTCTGGAGCCCTGCCAAGGGAAGGGCGAGGAAATACAGTCWGTATTTTCAAATCCAATTTAAAGGATCTCTTTGTAGCCAACATCTGTCATCTCATGGCAGAAAACACCTGAAATAATCTGATTTTTTCTGTTTATCTAGAGAGCAAATAATATCCTTTTGATTGCTGTGTTGCATACAGATATTCTTGTGTGAGTGACGTCTGCTCTGCGCCTCCCGTGGTGCTGAGGCCAGTGCTTTGGACAGGGATATGGCAAACCGGGCCCCTTGGTGAATTTTGGGCTTTTCAGAAGAGGTGTRTGAATTGCACAGGTGCTGGTGCTGTGGTTGTGAACCCCTGTGAGGTGCAGCTCTGCAAGTGGTGCTCTCAGTGGGTTTGGCCTCAGGATTTGTGCACCCTAAGGGACATCGGGATCTTACATGTTCCATGAAATCCTATTCGTAGCAGGAGCAGGATGGCTATTCCAGCTCTCTCTGGAGCCACCAGCCCCGCTCCAGCCGGGCTCTGAGGGTGCATGTGAGTTTGCAGCCCACCCCTGCTCCAAGATTTCATTTTGACACAAACCTTTCAGTCTGGGACAGCGACTGGGWTACACGTGGGGACGCTGTGTCCTTGCTCTTCCCGTAACATTTCAAAAACCCCTCAAACTGCCCCCAGATCGGCCCTGGCCCTTCTCAGTGAAGCAGAGCCCCGGGCACCGCACCGGCCGGACACTGCCCCTCCGGCACCGCATCTGCAGGCGCTGGGGCCGTGCCGGGATGTACCGGATGGCACTGGGCTGAGCTGTACCGGGCCGTACCAGACCGGGCTGTTCCGTACCGTGCCGGGCCGTGCCAGACCGGGCTGTTCCGTGCCATACCGGGCTGTTCCGTACCGGGCCGTGCCAGACCGGGCTGTTCCGTACCGTGCCGTACCGGGCTGCTCGGGTGATCCCGCGCTCTGTGCATGGCGCTGTCCCGGGTGCTGAAGTCTCCCCCGCCGAAACCGGCGGTGCCCGGGGGTCTCGCCCCGTGGGGACCGGGGATGGCGGGGAGAAACCTTTCCTTGCGTGGGACCTGAGGGCGCCGCGGGGCTCTGGCTGTGTGGCTGGTCCCGACGGTGCCGTACAGAGGATTCCAACGAGGCGTGGGAGTCCCGGCGGGAAAGGGGGCCCCGAGGGTACCGAGTGGTCCCGCGGGGGCGCGGCGGTGCCCGTAGATCCCGGCAGTGCAGAACGGGGGTCCGTGTGGGGCGGTGCGAGGAATCCCGGCCGTGCCGGGCGTTCCCGGCGGTGCGGGGCAGGACGGAGGGGTCCCGGCGGGGCGGTGCTGGGGTGTCCCGGCGGGGCAGGACGGGGGTCCCGGAGGTGCCGGGTGGTCCTGGCGGGGCAGTGTCGGGGGGTC